ATGTCCTGAATATTCACATTTTCCTTGCTATTCTTTAAGAAAGAGTTCATTTAAAATCTGTAGATGCATTTATTGATTAATATTTTTTTTTAACAGGAAAGAAGTGGTGAAAGACTCTTTGGAAAAAGTTTCAGCACCCCGGATATGGAAAAAGGGCGTATGTGCACAAACACTTTCTGCCTGCATCCCAGCAATGTCAGAGAAAGAAATTCATTAAAACCCTTAGTTCATTTTGAAAAATGTATGAGATTCCATTTTACTAATAATTAAGTTTTGACCAGCTTCAGATTAGCTATGGGAAGTTTTTATCATTTATCTCGAATTGCATATTTTGCACATACGCCCTTTTTCTAGAGAAATCCCCAATTGCAGACGGGACCTGATTTTGTTTACTTATTTATTTATTATTAACCCTCCAAGCGGCAAACGTCGCAGTTGCGACGTTAATACAGGCTGCAATAACGTCGCAATTGCGACGTTTGCCGCTTGGAGGGTTCAGTCCCAGAATAAGAGAAGGTAGTCATACATATCGGTAGCAAAAGCCAATACGCATCTTTATAGCAACTACAATATTGATCTTGGCGTTCCTCTTTGATATATACTGTCTTAATAAAAGTGCATACCAGGAGTGCGCAATATGAATCAAGTTTCATCAAAATAGACACATAGTACATATTCCTGGTATACACTTTTATTAAGAGAGTGGGCTGAAGTCAGAAGTGTCGCACTTTCGATGAGGCTCTTCAGAAAAATATTTCCTCGTATAGTGCTCCTCGAATACACCAGTTAAGTTGTATAGTAGACTTTTGGCCTTCTTGCACTACTTTCTTGTTTTGTTGACAGGCCAAAAAGAAAATTCTCCAAGCACCCACGGCACCTTTGATAGCTTCTAGCGGTACACCTGGGTGCCGCGGCACACAGGTTGCGAACCGTTGCATTGAGGTGTCGGAGGCTGAAATAAATGGTCTCTACCGGTAAAGCGTGGAGAGTGTGAAAGGTGGATTGATTACGAGACCTCAACTGATAGCTGCAACCCCCTCATTGGTTCAATAGAGCTAATATGTAACCTGTGGCTGGATTGACTTGGAATGCTGTAGCAGTGAGGAGTGGAGAGTTTCAATTTAGACAACGTATTATACTGGTTAAACTGCGAAAAATATTTCTATCACTGAACCGTGAAGAAGCAGTGAGGCGTCCCTGAGTATCGATTCTTACTCAAGCTTCACTTTATCCTCGAGAAGTTGTCGCCATACATATGCAAGAGAAAGTAGTGGATCTCCACGGCGTGGGGATTCAAACGCGAGAATGGATCATATTCATAATGGCAATCTTGGCCCGTCAACAAAACCATATATTAATATATAAAACGGAAGACATTCCTAAATTGCTTCGAATTCGCATCATCTTGACATGAGGTGAAAGTGAGGTTCGCGTACGAATCAATTCTCAGGAATGTTACATTGTTCTTTGCAATGTATTTATTGCAATGTATGAATGCTATTGTTCTTTAATAAGCTTTGCGTTTTCAGTTTCCTCACACCCCCTTTTTTTCCAGCTAACTTGTTATACGCATTCGTCATGGCATTTGGAGAACTTTCGAATGCTTCATGGGCGAGTCTACGGGTGGATTTTCGAACAGAGCATTATCCGATAATGCAGCTTTATTTCGGAGAAAATGCATTATAAATCCGGTAAATAAAGCTGCATTATCGGATAGTGCTCTGTTCAAAAATCCACCCTACATTTTAAAGTTGGTTCAATACTCTGTAGAGAGTACTTTGCAGAAATCCCAACCTGATGAGATCAGGACATGAGAAGTGACACAACTAAGGCGATACGGGTCCATCTACGCTTATCCGGTCGAAATCGGTTCTGGAGTCTCTACTATATTGGACAAATTGGCTTTTCGGTACTTTATCAATTCTTTACCTAAGGCGCTCCGAAAATGGCTCAGTTGTTCAAAGCACCAATTGATGCATCACTCATTGGAATCCAATTAGCAATTTATTAAACTCTACCCCGGTCCCGCGCTTTGGATAGAATACTCCTCAATTATCCTCAGTTCAACGTCAGTAATTGAGGTGAACCCCAGCAGGCACACTCCCTATGGGACATAAGACGAACAGCTCCTTAATTTATTAAAATTGGCTCCGTAGGATTTTGTTTGAGTGCAGTCTGTGCGCATTGGATTCGACGTATAATTAGTGCTTTTAGTACCAGATGAGTATTGAGATACGCAAAAAAAGAAGGCAAATCGGGTGCCCCAGTTTGTGATTTGTTAAATTTGTTAAATCTGTTTGTTCTTTGGGCCGGTCTGTGGGTTCGGGATTTGAAATCATTTTAGTATCTTAACATTCAATGTATTTTGTTGTATTTCAGAGACCCCAAAAAGTCACAGCACGGTTTGGAGGCGAGTCCAATAGGACCGCATTTTCCGAAAGTATATCAGTAGAGTTCCACGGGACATAACACGATCATGTACAAAGGAATTCTTTGACTTGGAAGGGCTTTGTTGAACTACCTGACAATTTCGATGGACATATTCGAGGTTGCAGAAATTCTCTACCGACTTGGATTATATTTCCCGCTTTGAGAAAACAGGCTCATTCCATATGTATTGACAAAGGAAATTCACCAGTACGTCGCATCATCGAGAGGGAAATAAGCCTACATTCATTGCATACCTAATCCTTGTTAACCTGGCTTCTGTCTCAACGCGGAAGGGAATTTGGATGAAGGAGAAAAAGACTCCTTTGTCCACAATTACTTGACTGTGAAGATCCTAGAACGGGTGGATCTTCTTTAATGCATATAATGAGGTTTTTCTCCTCTCTCTGTCTCTCTTTTAGGGATAAGTTCGTCTGGGCCGATCTCGAGGCTCCCACATGCTGATGCCTTGCTTTTGAAAGCCCTTGACCTTAGACCCGGAAGACGAAGGCCAGCTGGAAGATTCTTGACCTTGCATCGAAGGAGAAAAAAGAAATTGGTCACTAGAGCACTTCTCCACAACAAAGCCATTCTCGACGACGTCTATCACGTTCAGACGCAGGTGAGGGAAAAAAATAATCCATCCTCTCTCCACTAACAGTTCGAATTTTCTATCTCTCATTGATTTAAATAAAATTTAAAAAAAGACTTGCTTCTTGCCAAGAATTCGAGGGGGCACAGGATAGGCTTTTTGGAGCAATGGATTATGGCAGTAGGTTGGAATAGTTTCTCGCTTCGGAGGACATAGAGATTTACGAGAAGGGAAGAATTTGAGTTGGCTCGAAATGAGAGATCCTTGCTGTAGAACTCCTGAATTCCAGTTCGTGCTTCGTGATTGGCTGTGAGAAAATGGGGAGAACTCTGAGGATACATGCGGGAGAGTCACGCAAAGGGAATGGGAAAACGGGGGGAAGTGAGGAGCCCAGAGCCAAGACAGAGACTCCTACGCAGGGGATCTCGTGAGATACCAGATTTTTCCCTGACACCCATCTGGTATCCTGCCCATTCCCTATTCTGGGCTTCCCTCCCAGGAAATCCTCTCTCTCTCTCTTTTACCCCCTCTTCTTCCCTCTCAACGTTGCATAGTGATCAATAGTTTCACCGTCTTTCATATCGGCCTCACCTGGTAACCGGAGTTGCCTTTCTAGAATTCCATGATTGACATGACGGGAATGTGGTGGTCTCCATAGTTTGATTCCCTTTCATCAACTGAGTTGTTCATTGCGTGTGATATGAGTCACGAAGGCTATTGCTTCTCGGATCTTTGATCTCCCCTCAGAAGACAATAGCTCTTTTTTTTGGGGGGGGGGGAGAGGATTTGTCTCTCACGCTCAACATTCGTTTACGCTTGGCGAATCCTTGGAACCACTCTGAGCTCCATCACAGTGCCTATATTATGCACTTTCTGCGGAGATCATTGAAGTTTCGCTTTCGAAGAGAACTTTGTCACCAGGTCGAAAATGTCTGGGGCTGCGTCATATGAAACAAAATTAATTTAGGGCTTTCTTCGATCCTTGTCATTATTTTTAAGCAGTGTCTTAGAGGTGGACGAGTGCAAAGATTTCGTTGACTCGAGACTAAAGGATAGGGCCGATAGTCTTATCGCAAATTCGTGGGGGGAGGGAGCTGATTCATAGGATTCCGAAGATCGAAGCTCGCAACTGGAGCAGAAAGACGAAAGGAAGGTTGGATATTTTCTGAGAAAGAGAGCTGGCATGAGAGGAAGACCTGTCATGGCAAGAAGGGGGAGAACGAGACCTCTGTCTGGCTGTCTTCAGAAGGAGAGATGGTAGGCCATCTTGCTTCCTATCTTCTGTGAGAGAAAGAGGAGGAAAAGAGAGATAATCTCTCATTTTCAACCTTGGTAGCCCTGGCAACCTCTTTCAACCCTGAACGGACGTACGAGTGATCAATAGCGCCTTTAGAAAATGAATATCCCGTCTTTCTTGTTCTCATGCCCCTTGCAAGACAGTGTTAAATGAAACACGGGCTTTATGACTTCGGCTTCGGGATGAGAGGTAATGAAAGTCAGTGAGAGGTAGATGAAACGATATTGCCTCTATCTACATAATCGAGTGTCGCTGCCAGGCTGAAACTCCACAGGCAAATCATGCAGGAAGGAAGTCAGTGGCCTCTTGTTGCGTATGGCTTGTGCCCTTCTCTTTTCTTCTCGCCAGAGTAACCCAGTCTGTACTGTCTTAATGGAAAAGCTCCATTTCAAGTCTCTGGTTTCTCATAATTTTTTGTATTCTGCTTTGGAGAATGTCGTCCAGTAAAATAGGTATGTTATACTTAAGAAATATATATATTGTACATCCAAAGAAAATTCATGAGGAATTAGTTGTCATTTCCTCCTGGAAATTTGTGCTATCTGACTAAAATGAAGACAGACAAGGTTACATGACCTCGCTTCGTCTATGCATGTACTCCTTTGCTTTATGCTAAATGTTTGAGGTTGAAGGCTCATACCGGAGTGCGAGTGTGAAATTGATTTTCTGTCCGGTTTCCAGTATATGCTAACGAGGATCGGAGAATGGCCTTTCAATGCCTTCATTCTGGATAACGTGACTGGAGGTGAGCCTCTAGGAATAGTTCACCTCCGCTTCACTCCCTTATATTCATGTGACTAACTGGCATTCCTTTCGTCTCTCTAGGGCATGCACTGCCTGTATTATGTGTTCATCTCTTCCATGAATATGGCCTGATACGGCACTTCCAATTGGATACCGTCCGTCTTTGGAAATGCTTCTGTAAGTTCCTTCCGCGTGCAATGTATGCACCTCAGAACATGTTTACCCCCAAAGTGGCATGTGGTGATGTCGTGTATTCTCATTCACAGTGCTAATAGAGGAGGGCTACCACGCCAGCAACCCTTATCATAACTCCATCCATGCCACGGACGTGACCCAAGCCATGCATTGCTATCTGCAGGAGGAGAAGGTAAGCGAGCCTCCCTTAAGCGTTAACGTGAGAGACTAGGATTGATTCTCGTTCAATCCTGACACAGGTGCACGAACATATGACACCTTTGGAGTTGGCAGCCGCATTGCTGGCGGCCGTGACCCACGATCTGGACCATCCAGGAGTGAACCAGCCTTTTCTCATTGCTACCGCCAACCACCTCGCATCCTTATACAAGGTAAGGGAGAGAGAGACACACTGATGGGATGTTTTTCGTGTGGGAGCGAGGACAGGGGTGGACCCACACTTCAATGCTGGCATTCTGCCCGTCATTCGTTCGGGTGGAGCCACCCATATTTCAATCTGAACCAACAATTCACTGCTAGAAGGATTTTATGTTTGTCAACACAAAATCCCTATCATCTTTTGTTTTCTTTCGTTATCTCGTTTCCCTCTCACGTAAAACGAGGAAGAGTCTTGATTCTTGTCGATGCATTCTTATATTATCATGTCTCCCTGAATTTTTCACTTCGTTTGAAGATATTTTTTAAACGCAATATTCGTAAATGAAAGGATTCTTGAGTTCTCTTGGGTTCATGCTGGTTATTGCCCTACATATGATGACCGAGTACCCGTATCAAAATGCATAAGGACGAGTTGAATGCTTTTTCTAGTTTTCTTGATTGGGGCTCATCCATTAAACTGTTGGAAGATAGCTTATCTCTCCTGCGATTCGTATCAGGACAATCGTGAGGGATTTCATTCATAACGAATGTCTTGAAATTCCACATATCCATATATGTGATCAGATATTCCTTTTGTTCGACGTGCGGGTACGAGTGATCCCTGTCGCCTGTTTCGGCTACTTGTCCCAACGATTTCGAGGCCGTCACTCCCATCTATTTTTAGATTGATTCAGAGCTGCGGTTGGAAGATGCACCCTGACGTGATCGGTATCTGGAATTTTCTTGTCAGACATGGTAATGCCACGGAATCTTGAACGTCTATTAGGAAGATAATTGGCAGAGATCCCGTTTCCCTTCCGAGTACCCGTGCATTTCCTGGCTTCGCATTTTTCTCCGGGTTTCTACGCACTGAATACCAAGAACTATAAACATGTAAACATTTTGATTTGGGACAAGATCTGCATGCCGTCTTTCCAGGACGGTACATGAGCAAGTGAGGTCATGGCCTTTTCGGGGATCCTAGAGGCGGGCCCCTTACAGTTGAGGAGACAACCGTAATAACGAACGTCGGTTCACCAATTTTGATTTATTTATGAAACCCATTGCACCATTATCAAGTTTCGCTGTGGACATGGGAGATTCAGAATTTCCTGAAATCATTTCTGTCTTCTACCTGTCGGCACTACGAGCCTCTGACTTTGACCAGACTATAAGCCTTTCCCGCTTTCCTGCAGCCAACAGTACTTTTCACGGCCTCTGCAACTGCAAGACATCGTACGAAGCAGGTTCTTTGTACAAAGGAAAGGTTGTAGTCTTCGTCATATTGTCAAGATATCGTACATATTCATTTTTAATCGCGTTATTCTCGCTTAGGATTTTTATGCCCTTGGGCTTGGCGCCCTGCGATTCTTTTGCTCATTTTTGTCGATTTGTTTTACATATAGTTAGCTGTAATTTTTCTTCCGGCCCTAGAGAAACCGCGACGTTCTCCTCAATCGGTGGGTTTTAGAGCTCTTCATTTGAATGATCACGTCCTGGAAAAGAAGTATGCTTTTTCATATTACGGTATATACTTTGAAAAAAGTACAGTGTCGAAAACCCTACTGAGATTTTCCCATTGGAGTATGGGAGAAAAGAAATAGGTTCCGTAAATAATGAAGCTTCAGTTTCCCCGTGGTTTTATATGAAGATTTCAGCAAGCTTCTATGGAAAACGAAAACAGACTTTGTCGGCGATTGTTGCCCATCTTTCCTCTCCCATTATCCTCATAAATCCTCATAAATGCCACTTTAAAATCTTCGGTGAACCTTAACAATACGATAATTTCTTTGGCACTCTGTATAATTGAGAGAAACCAGGATTTAGATACTTGAAGCTTCGAACCCAAAAACTAATGGTGGATTTTTGAACAGAGAACTATCCGATAATACTGCTTCATTTCCAGGAAATATCATGTATTTTCCCTGGAATAAAGCTGCATTATCGGATAGTTCTCTGTTCAAAAATCCACCCTAACTTGGGACGAAACCAGTGCTTAATTTGAGCCGGAGCCGTTCGGGGCTCAGCTCCCGTTCTTCGATGGATTTCGTTATTATGCACTTAATGGGTTTAAAATATTTGAAAGAAACTGGCGATGATGTTGTATGTGCCCGGAACTCGAGATTTTAGTGCTATATTGCGCACAAAAAGAGTATCTCGAGGGGCAAGCCCCTCCGACCCATTATTTACGCACGTTATACATTCGGTGAGCTCCGGTTCTACATTTCTTAGAAATTGACCCCTGGGCGATACCTATACGTCAAAGTAGGTTCAGCAATGAATATATCACGAGCCTATACCTATTTGTGCTAGTAAAACTGTACCTATATGTCAAAATCGGCCACGTTGTCTCGATATAGGACAGTTCGTAGTTTTATCCTGACTTTCAGCTCTTGATACCCTCAAACAACGAGCCGTTAGGAGCTTTGGGAAATCCAGATCCCTTCGATGTTTTATGCTCACGTAGGCGTTTCTGAAGCACCCCACCCCAGCCAAAAAAAAATTCTTTCGGTAGTTGAGTTGTCGGTTGTTGTAATTTTTGCTTGAAGAATGGCCGGTCGAATTTTCAATTTTTGGCACTTTTCGACCTGTCTGACGGATTTAAGAAATCCATAAACTTTCGCTTCAAGTTCAGTGCTTTTTTATAGTTCTTTTCAGAACAGTCATTACCAGAGCTCAGTACTTTCAAGACAAAAGTCGTAATCATGGAGAGAGACGAGGTATCGTTACCTCACCTACTCAAATCGGTTTCGTAGATTTTTTTCTTAGGGGCGAGCTGTGTTTGTTTTCCGGAAGAACAGGATCTTTAACTGCGTACTCTCAGGTCCCGGAAGTACTGAATCGTCTCGGATTAAACTAGGATACAGGAAGGAAATGCATACATTTTGGGAGTCAGGGACGCGTCGATGGGGCGAGTTTGGCTTCCTTCTCAACGAACTTCGAAGCTAATCCCTCCCCATCCTCGACCCATCTAAGATGGGGGGAATATCTCAGACGTATATTTTGCTGGAGTGTGCCTGTTGGAGCGTGAATGTGAGGACTGAGAATGGGAACTGAGATGTTTGAGAAAGGGCTGTTTGGCAATGCATTCTTATTGAAAACACTGCCGCACCCAATAATGAACAAGAGGATGACATTTGTTTCCATGTATACGTTATGTGAGGATGCATGTTGGCATATGAAGTGACAGATACATGAACTTATTCTTGCCTTTCTTTTCATTATTCTCCCAGTTCAAACAGAATTCCTGTTTGTCCGCAATGCGGCAACCTTGTCCTGTGTGGAAAACGAATGTCGTTGTCGTATACATAATCTCATTATATCCTGCGTGGCGTTTATGCATTCGAAGGAAAACACCATGCAGGGAATCCACTGTCCCGAGAGCTTCAGTATCTCTCGAAATTCCACTTCTGGCTACGGAAGACAGTTGCATACCGACACAGCATTAGATAGCACTAAGATCACCGCGAAAAGATGGCTGATGCTCTGATGTTTATCTTAAGTGTTGCAAAAAGAGTTTTTCTAGGTACTTTATAACCTTCCAGATTCCTGTTCCTCTAAAGGATGCAAATGGGTTAACATGTGGATAATGCGAGAAAAGGTAAACAGTACGTCACCGAGATCATAGATCACGTGAGGCACCGCTTGTATGCTCTCACCAAATACCGTCACAGTTGCGGTTGAATCACAGCGACTGTATTGGCGGTTGGAAAAAAAAAATATTCGGGAACATCGCTTCAAGCTCCAGTAAGTCTCTATGGAGTGGGAGTTCGGTAATGTCACCCGAGGATACATCTGAAGAAGATAGTAAATAATTTAGCTCGTCGGTTGCATGAAACTCGATTGGAAACCTTTGCTTTTCCTTCCCTTCATTCCTTCTCTAGTGTGTCCGGATGACTTCTGGCATTAGAGTTTTTTTGACTGGAGCAGTAACGAGACGGTTTTGATAACGTACATTCGCCTTCATCCAAGGCACAGCGAGAACATAATAAAGTCCTATTATTTTGTCTATTAGCCGCTAATGGTGGTCGATGCCCACTCAGGCTATTTTCGATTCCACTCAATATCACATTAAAGTTGCAATTTAGATTTTATGGTGCGCTTAACAGGTAGAAATGTAGAAGGGCAAATGCTTACTTCCTGCGATCTCTCTCTCTCTCGTGGGATTGTTTCTTCCCGCAATCTTTTTAAGGTCGAAGTGAGGTTGAACCTATTGCTCTCTCGACTATTTTCAATCAGAGCTTTAAGTAGAGCACGAGGTTATCTGGCAAAACAACGTTGGGAAGTGTTAGTTTTGGTGAAGTTGCTATGCAGGCGATTCATTTACTCTTCTTTGCATTGTTTCCCCCTTTCGTTCAGAACGCTTCCGTACTGGAGAATCATCACTGGCGTTCTGCCATTGGCTGTCTCCTCGAAAGCAACATTTTCAGCGACTTGGACGCAGAAAGTTGGCCATCCATGACCTGGCAAATCAGATCCCTCATCCTCGCAACGGATATCACCAGACAACAAGAGTTCATAACCAGGTTCAAGGTAAAGCCGCTTTTCTTCATATGCGCTATATCCGCTTATGGCTTCCATCTCTTGTAGACCTCTGGAGGAGAGGAAAAAGTACACCTCATTCCCTCCCGCATGAATCATGAACCCCTCTGCTTCATGGGATCACGAGAGAATTGACCATATCCATCATGGGCAGCGGGAAATAGGGGAATCTTCCATAGAGTGCTGTTCTCGACGATGAATCTTTCGTAGAAAAAGGGCTGAAGGAGAGGGAGAGTTGGGGCTGAGTTTCAGCAAGGAGAGTAAACCCACTCTCAAACTCTCATCTATTCTATCCCTTGGTGAATGAGTGTGAGGAGGGCAATCATCGTTGACGACGAGGGGGTGTCGCTTGGGAAGCTGCCAATCGCTTCCCTTCTCCCTGTTCCTCTTGGCTACACCTGAAATCGGAGTAGGGATGACAGTGGGTGGGAAACCCTCAACAATGTCCAAGAGTCAAGTTTTCCGATCCCCATTTCTTCGTCCTCACGACAGGGACAGGCTTAAGCGTAGCGTGGATGGAAAGAGTGAGGAGGGGGGGGGAGGAAATACATTCAAGATAAGATGTGATGCATGTATGCTGGTACATAACTTTTAAGAATTTTCATATATGAACATTCCAACAGCGAAACACTTTTTTCTTCTCCGGAACCGGTAATTGAATCGAGAAGTCATCGTTTTGAATTTAGGTAGGTTGCACAATTCTTTGGAAGTAGGTGAGCGGGTTGCAACTTTAAGCTTGGGAAATGCTGAGTCAGAGCAGGGTGTCTAATATTATGGTGCTTCAAATAGAGCTGATTCAACGATAGAGAAGACTCAGAAGTGGGCATGTAAAATGATAAAGGAGGTAAGGGAACTTCCGTACAAGCAGCGTTAAGACCAGCTGTGGCTCTTTTCCTTGGAGGGAATGTTAACGAGGGGTTCTCATCCCGACATTCAACTTCATTATGATCAACGATAACACGTGGCATAGTAGGTGCTTCCAACTAGATAACAGCGGAATGCGAGGAAATCGATTTATGTCGCGTAAGTCTCTAGAGCAAGGCATAAATTGCAGA